TCAATTTACTTAAACCTTCGCGGGGGACCATCAACCTGGCCTCGTTGGAGCGGCCTCGTCCCGACGAGGCACGAACCGAGCAGCTGTGACGACGTTTTAAGATTTTCGTGTTTTGGGATTCGGGCAATATCTAAATTAAAGACAAGCCTTTCCGAAGATTTAGCAGCATTCGACAAAAGTCTACTTGTTCGCAGGAACCTTCTGCACCCTATAGCCTACTATAAATGAACGCTCCAGTTCTCTAAACAATCGAAACATCAAACCCCGAAGCCCTAAACCCGCACTGATACCCAATTCCAACCCTATAAGCCCTGCTGAACGCTAACCTTGCACTATACCTTAGACCCTTAAACCCTAAACGGCAAGTTGGAACCACCCTTGTCGCCGCAATTCTGCCTTCCCGTGCAGCAAGTAAGAACCCTAAACATTGCCAAGGGAAGTTAGAACCCTATAGCTGGGTTTGATGGGTTTTGGAGCTTTCCCAGCTATTTTCATTAATTTTACCGCTGGTTGGCAGCCGCCCCATACCGCCCCGCAACTCCCAGGCGGCGGCCCCGGCCCGGGGCAGTACAAATGTGGCGGGGATGTGGCGGTATGTGCGGTATGGCGGCGGTACGGCGCTACGGGCGGTTTATGTGCTATGCGGCAAATTAATGAAACTCCGCGGAGGGTCAGCTTAGGCTTGTTATAAATCAGAAAGAGCATCATGTTCAAGCGGATTTCGGGAAACATAGAGAGGCCAGGCAAAGCCATGCCATGTGCGTCAGAAAGAGCAACAGGTTTAACCTCAGGGGGGATCCAGCCGCAGCCGACTCAATATGCAGTGCTTCGACAAGAAGTGAGCGCATCAACATCCGTTCGAAAGCACATGCTGTCCGCAGTTCCACAGTTGCGTGTGTGACAGCGGGGAACCTGTCAACATTATCGCTCATGCCTACAGCTATTTGCCGATCATTTCCTTTCATGCCTCTCTGAGACCTCGAAGACGGTAGCTTGAAGCCATAAGCATTTGTTGCGGGATCGATGCTGTGGTGCACATATGAACCCCCGCCCTTCAATTCTGGGTCCATCGTAGGGTCCGTAATCTAAGACAAGACATTGAAAGACATCCAATTCTTTCCACAGGTGTTCAAACGAGAGTGGCAGAACAACCTTGCACAGCCATGAAAGCCACTGACGGAAAAAATCTGTGAGCCGAGCCCTGGCTGACAAGGTCGTGTTGAATTGAACATGCCGCCAGTTGAAACCTTCATGTCTACTCCATGAGATGGAAAGAGAGCAGCAAACCGAATCCTTTTTCCCTCCCCTGGGCTGGCAGGATCAAAGTAACGCTTCAGCAAACGACCCGAGATGTGGGTTGTTCTTACCGAGAGCTCCTTTTGTATCTAGTGCCTTTGCTTGTTGAAAGCCTGCTGACTTTGATGCACGCGGGTTCTTGTAATCACTGCTCTAATATACTACACTGTACTACTAGTCACTTCCACGCGAGGGCGAGCCTGCAGCTCACTTGCCTCAGCCAGCTGACGTGCGGATGGATGGTATATTATGGAATCTCGCAGCAGTGTGCCTGTATGTCATAATATATTGTAGCATACTCTACTATCGAGTAGTATCGACCTACTTAACAATTATAGAAGATGGTTCGGGGCTTGGCATAGTCTCGGGCGCTTTTTCTTAGTAGCCGGCAACAGAAAACCTGAGGACTACCCATTATCCTGTTCACTCGCTGTATAAACGCATAACCACAGAAGCAGTATGGGGTGCTAGAGGCTGTATCGGCCAACCTCTGTGAACAGCGCTTTCTGAGTTTGTCCGGTTATGCTGCTGCGAATGTGTTTCGACAAAATGTGATGAATCGATGCTGTAGCACTCTTGTGCAAGGAGTGTCGGAGGCCTGGAACCTTGTAGAGCCTGTTGCGCTCCCTGCCACACAGAAACTGGAACCTAGTAAACTATGGTCGTAAAAAGCGCAGACCAGAGATGCCATGTAACCCTAGACTACCACTAACCCCCTAGACTCTATCACTTCCTGAAATGTCAACACGACATGGAGGAGCTGGGAGCTCTGGGGCTTAGGCTTTGGAGGTTCGGGTTTTCAGGCTTAGCACTTCCAGGGCATTTGGGGCCCTTGGAGTTTGGCGCTTCGGGGTCGTTAGCAGTGTTACTTGTATATAGTAGCAATGAATGTGGTAACAGCCAGCTGTGATCGTCGTGTCGGTCGTCTTTGCCACCTGGTTGCACCCCTGATTTAGAACTGTAGGGCGGCCTGCAAGATGCCTACTGCTGCCTGTAGCTCAGGAGCCAGTTTAGAAGGGTAACACTAAGGAAGAGCAGTCTTACGATCAGCATGGAAGTCAAGGTCGTGAAGGGATTAAATAGGAGTCATTACCTTGCTATAGCAATGATTCATGATCAACACAACAATACCAGGCCATTTCTTGACCACAACGTTTTCGTTTGCCAAGAGGCTCATCCTCTGGCCACGATCTTCGACAATGCTCAGCTTAATGCCGTTGCCCTGAGTCAAAAGCTCTCGAAGCTTCGTCGAGGAGTTTTAAGAAAGGAGCAATGTCCAATGTAAGCTCTTAGTCTCTTAGTGCATAAACTGGATACCCTTAACCAGTAACCTTCAAGTGTAGATTTGGAGCTGAGTTGAATCGTCGGGTGCATTTCTGTTGGCTAAATTGCTACGAGCCCAATAAATGTGGTACCGCGATGCCCAGCACAAGAACGACATGGGACCTCGCTTTGGAACGCACTCCTGCTGTCAGACTCCTTCGTGACACCCTCGCTATGGCTAGCAGTACTGCCAACAACAATTTCAAATTCTGCCAGCAGCTACTGCAGCCAAAGCTACTGCTCCTCCTTCTATGTATCTTAGACAGTAATCACTCCTCCTGCCGCTGCTTGTCATGCTGCGTGTTGGAAGTGTTGTGAAGCTGGCCTCCTGGTCACCTGAGCCTCTCTGCAAGCCTAAACGCCCAACGACCCAAAACCTTGCTTTGGAGCCGCTCTTCCTTGTGTATGGGGGTTTGAGGGTTTAGGGTTCATGCTGCTGTGCGACAATTATGCAAGATGAGCTCGACGTGACAGGAAGAACTTTGAAGCGGAGACTTCGAGGTTTCGCCATTAGCCGCTTTCGATTTCGGTAGAGGGGAGGGGTCCCACGTCGGGTTTCGAGTTCGACAAGCATTGCCCGCGGCCTTTGGCAGCGAGATCCACGGCTTGTTGCCCGAGCCAATGAGAAAGACGTTCTCCAGGCGCGTGTTGAAGCTGTGACCGGCAGCGTCCTGTGATCGGGCCTGTTGGGTAGGAGTCCTTGGCCCCTGAACCTCTGAAGCTTCGAGCCTTGAAGGCAAACACTCGATGGAGTAGAAAGCAAGAGTCAGAGAGACGATTTGATGCTGCAATTAGATTCCTCAGCATATGATTCTGGACCGATTCTGGTAGCGCTTCGTGTCGGCTCGCTTGGAGCCGCTGAAGTTGTGATTCGAGGCTGCGGCCGAGGCATCTGGGTATGTCTGGGCCATGGGCTTCAAACTTGCGATGCTTTTATGTTTCGGGTCCTGGAGTCCTCGACATTGAGGGCAAGGACTGACGTCAAGAGACATCCTGTAGATGCCCTTATATAGTCAATGTAGAAAAAACGCCCGAACAATTCTGGCCTGAACCGTAAATCTTCGGTTTCGAACCCGATTTGCTGGCATACTGCCTGAGCCGCTTGCTGTTGGTGTTGGGATGAAAACCTCTCGATACCAGGATTCCTGGAGCCCGAAAGAGCCCCCCATCGAGAACAGCACCGGCCCCTAGAACTTAGGGGCCTTTAGGGGTTTGGTCCTGGTGATGCTCTCACCGTCGAAGGAGCCATGGAGGAACCCCGTAGAAGGAAGCCTTCAACACGATCTAGAACCCACATGTGGCAGCAACGCCTGAAACCTTAAAACAGGAAAAGTCAAGCATGAATCCGATGTCCTTGATGTGGACAATTTCGAAGGAGCCGGGGTGCTTCTCACGGTGAGTAATGGTTCCAACTCGACCTGTCTAATATTGTGCATTCTGTGCTTTCGTGGCGTTCCTCTTGATGCCTCTAGATTGAGCAAGGGCCAACAGACCAGGAGCCCCAAGGCTTTGAGATGGCGGGCTGGAAGGCTCGAAGAACCGAGGGGCTGCTATCGACCTGAAACATGCCTTCACACAGAAACCTGAAAGCTGACAGTTAGCCATTCTGATGTGCCCTGGGCACTGGGTTTACGCTCGGGGTCCCTTGCAAGTTGAAGCTGCTTTCTAGCGTCCAACCCTAGACGCCGACTGTTTGGAGATGCAGGGCCTCCCGCGGCTGAGGCTTGGGATTTGCAAGCGGGCTCTTCTCCCAGCTGAGGTCGCTGCCGATGTTGTTTCCACCGCTGATCATCACCTGAGTTTCGGCTTTAGGCATGGGATTAATAGATAGTCGTTGTGGTAGTGGTCGTCACTGAGTCGTGATCCCTCTCCTTAAAACAGCCAGGCCAGGGCACCATGTTGCCAACCTCGAACTTCACGTGGTCCAGGATCTTCCCGCTCTCCAAATCCAGCCTCAGGCGCTCTTCTTGGAAGCCAGGGGCCCGGCTGTGTTGGGGAATCGAGGGGTGTCCATTTTGGGGCTTGGTCGTTGGAGTGTTGAAAGGTTTCCGGCTTTTGTGTGGTTCGATCTTGGGAGCCCGGAATGTTCAGGGTTCACCGAGGGATGGGGCGACAAATCTCAAGCACAATCCCATTGAAAGGCACGTGCAACTACACAAAGGTTGAGGCCCTACAATTTCGGGAGAGTTCTAAGCAAATTTGTCGTTCTTCGCAACCTCAAACATATCACTACCATACTCCAACTACGAGAACCAGTGACACTAAACGTAGACGTCATTACTGCGCAGTTCAGAGCTTCGGGTCTAAGATTTTCTTGAGCGACCCCCTGCAGCCTGCATTCCTAGGAGCTAGTAGCCTCGATCGCAAGCCCGATCTGAGATGGTAGAATCTTTGCGAGAGGCATTGCTGAACCCTGAAACTGCCGTACATAGGGAGTTTGAACAGAACCGCCGTAATGATTACGCCATAATGGCTATCAAGACGACCGTGTTACATCCGAAGCCCCAAATCTGGAAACCCTTTCCATTGACTGGAGAAACTTCGGGAGCGGTTGTGTTTGGGAACCAGTTCCGATTTCGCGCGGATCTTGAGCTACGCTCTACTGCAGTTGTGAAGACAGAAATAGACTGAGAAACTTGTGAAGCTCCTGAATGACTTGGCTGCGACTGGCTCAGGGATGCAGCTCGTGTGGGTTTGCGGATGAGCCAGGCGCGGGTGAGTCACACCGGTGGCTGCTTGGGATTCCAGATGTGGAGTTGATGTCCAGGCACGGTCAGGGGCTTCGGGTCGATTTAAGACGCTGCTTTCAGAATTCAAGTCGTCGGCGTCGAAGTTTCGGAGCTTGCTCGAAGTCTTTCAGCTGCCAACCTTTCAGCTTCTGCCTCCCAGGCTGCCAGCGGCTGGAAAGGTGGTCGAGTACAATTGAAGAGAGGCGGTGGCCGTGTTGCCAAAGCCCGGAGCAACTCGTCAAACTTCAGAAACGTGTTCTTTCGGGACTTGCACTTGGGACAAGGGATCTTGACGAAAGTAAACTGCCCGCCAAACATCCTCGTGAGAGGACACGTGTTCGTGGGGGCGTTCCCAGGAATAATTTCGAGCAGGCGCTGTTCCAAGGCGCTGTTGAGCCATCTGGCGGTGTTCCAGGAGCCACCACCGTGCGCTGCAATGATGGTGTCCGCCTGGGGTACGGCTTGAAGATGTCGGCATGTCAGACTATGTCATAGTACGATTCACGATGACAATGATACGTAGGTCTTTTGGTTCGTGTAGGTACACAACCACTGACAGTAAGTGCAGAGTTAATTGCTCCACTTGGGCGTATATACATGAACTTCTTCAAACTGCGCAACAAGTCTTTCTCGCTCTCTCGCTCTCTATCTCTCTCTGTCTGTCTGTCTGTTTCTCTCTCTCTTTCTGCAGCAGTCAGTGCTCACAGCTTTCTGCATCTCAGATCTCATGCTTCTTTCTGGCCACTCTGGCGGCTTCAGCTGTTCTGATTCCCTCAGCACTGTCGTGAGTTCTCCATCATTTTCATCGGATTTGGCACGGCGATTTCAACTTGAGGACCTTACTTGCCGATGTGTCTGTGGCTTTTAGGAGATGCTGCAATGAGTTTTCGCGATGTTGTCTTTGGAAGCACGTCAAACTTGCTCAACGATGTCGATGTGTTTCTCCGGAGTCTCAGAATACCAGAGCAAATAGGATGCAACTGCAGCTGCTGTCGCGGCCCTTCATGCATGCTAGCGCTGTATGCGCCGTAAACGGTGACAGATCACTTATCGACTTCCTGGATTCCTGGCTAGGCCATGTCATTGTGAAGGCAGCTTCCCTGTCCGATTGCAACGAGGGTTTCAGTCTTTAGCTTCGGCAATAAGGTCTTGCCGCCCAGACCCGTCTTGGAAGTTCGTCCATTACGGGACCAGCTGACTCAAAAGGAGCACGCCGTCACCCTGGTCTCCCAATAGTTTCTGGCCGTCAACATATCGCATCTGGCTGTGGGCATGGCTGCGTGTACGGACGGGCTTAGGATTCCGTCGGAAATAGATGGGTGCTAGAAAGGCAACGAGTGATTGAGTATCCTTTCATTAGCCTAGAACCCTTGTAAGTGCGTTAGGGTGGCTTGCTCAGGGAGCTTGCAAGTTCCACTCGTGAAAACCGCTTAGATACAGAACAACACACCAACAGCGATGACGATCCTCATATTGAGCGGCTTGTTGTTGCTATTAATTTGCTTAGTGTGCCACGAACCGACTAGGCGCAATAACTGTAGTCGAAAAGTGAAGTCACAAGGACTGTAAAGAAGATCGCCGCGATGGTGAGGGTAATGGCCAGCAGTTGATGATGATGGCAACAGCAAGCTGGAACAAGCGCAGTAATAACAGCTATTGGCAATAACGATGCGGTGAAGATCAGCTGTCCACGGCAAGAGCGCTCCGGACACGGCCAATCCAAAAATAATGCAGAGTTAACAATCTTCACCATTATCGAATACAAATGATCATGACAGTTTTTAAAGGAAGCGAATAGTGATGGCCGGTAGCATCACCAGCACTCCAATAGAGGAAACCTCGTGATAATACCAGCAGCATCCAGCAGCAACAAAGAGATTGCAATCGGTAGCCATGGAGAGTAGCAGTAGCAGCCTTCGATTTAGAATTCGGAGCGAACGTAGTGGAATGATGCGGTACCTTATAGAAGTCCTACCATAGTAGAGGTCGTGACGCACAGCGCTGCTGGGCCTGGCGCACCAGGAAGATTTGATCCAAGTAAGGGATGACCCCGAAGGACACGAAAAGCAGCGTGACGTTGGAGTAGACCTTCGACAGTTGGAGAGCCATCTCGTCGCCGTTGTAGACATCCCGTTGCTCGCAGCCTTTCTGCTCGGGATGCTTAAAGCAAACCTTCGAAGAGATGCGGGTGATCCAGAGGAAGAAGTTGGACTCTGTAGCTGTGATTCGGCAAATCTCAGCATTATAAAGCTCCAAGTTGTGCTGACCGGCGAGTTGCCGCAAGAAGCTGCAAGCATCTGCGTATCTCTGCGGCTTCTGTCTCCATTGCGACTCGAACCACGGAAGCGCAGCGATTTGATAGGAAAGCATCAGAGGAGAACGCCCCTGGCATGACTCGTCCTTACCGAACTTGTTCCAATGAGGGCCGGTGTACCCGCTGGGGCTTGTAGAGACGTGCTTCACGCGCTGTACATATGCAGCCTCGCGTAAGCACAAGTCGGGGAAGGACGCCTTCACAGTAGAAGGGCAGTACTGTATGACCTCAGACGACAGTGACTGCCAGTCTTCGAAGAGATGAGGCCTGTCCTGAGACTTGTCTTTCTGGCCATCGGCATAAACAGATTTCCCAAAGCCATTGTAGAGGACAACCCGCGTGTCATCTCGGTCGAAAATTGCTGTCTCCAATAAGTTCTGCACTATGAAGAGGTTTTGCTGATCTGCTTGACAATGTCCCGGATTCCCTGTTGAGCAGTCGCCAGCAGATACATAGGTCAGACCCTCCCGAAAAGCCTTCTTTGTTTGGAGCTTCCACTTTGCCAAGGCAGCTGCTACATGATCGACCAGCTCACCCTCTACGTTGTCCTCAACGATCGTGAAGACATGGTCGAGTCCGCCGTCCAGCTTCTTGCGGACTTGCATTGAATTCTTCAACGGATGCTTCTTGTGAAGCGGCTTCAAGAAGTCCATTAGGTCGATGCTTTTGTTCATTCTACATTGGGCAACCCAGTGCAGCGTGCCCTGGGGATCCAAAACCTCCACAACGTCATACATCTGGCAGGACCATACTTTCTGCTTTTCCGAGTATTGGGCACAAAGAATCTTTGATGCACCATCTCCACAAAGGCTCACATGCTCGTCCTGCAGCTTCCGGTACTTCTGCAGTCCGAGCAATTTCTCTTCGCAGGGGCGAAAGGCCGGCAACGTCGCTGCTGTGAACTGGTAGCGCGACTGATAAACCCCTGCCTGGGGCACTTCTGATGTCTGGGCCGCCTGGGTGGTGAACTCTGTCTGAAACGACTCGGAGGACTCGGATTGAGAAAGATTTGCTACTGTGTCAAGCTCTTGCTTTCTGGCGACGGTGCCGGCTGCAGGTGCAGGTGAGCGCTTGTCGGCGACACGGTGCAAGTTTATCAAGATACCTAGAACCAGAAGAAGTCCCAGCACCAGCAGGCTAAGTCGGCGGTTACAGTACCGCATCGCCACATGGGGGTGCCGAAGTCGGACAACTTGTGGCCTAGAGCTCGGCTACCGGATTGACCTTGTAGGCTTATGGACGATGTAAAGTGAAGGGACCCGAACCTTAGGCGGAAGCTCGGGAGATATTTGAGCAGTCCAACGTTGGGTTGTCCTACCATGCTCTACTGTCTAATCCAAACTTCGAATTCGGCACCTGATAGGGCCTAACATGAAAAGAGAGATGCTGTACCCCACAAAGTCAGGGACCGTGGCTCAGACAGCCCGACGTGAAACACAGCTACTCTGTCGCTTATTCCGGGGGCGGATGTTTTGCCTGTGCGAAGCACCTCTAAGCTGTAAACTGAACCCGACACACGACATTCGCAAATCCAATCACATCCATAGTTTGCGGGAGACCAGCAATTCTAATTCTGGGATTGAGCCAGGAGCTAGCCGGAGAATGTACGCGACCTTGCTTGATCGACAATATATCTAGCGGCAGCCGAAAGTACGAGTTCGCAAGCCGGCGGAGCTGTTTGCACCCTCTCTTTGCAATCCTGCAGGGGTCTTTGATGCTTCTCTTCTGCATGCTGGTACGACGACAACGACCGCTAGCAACAAGACATCCTGCACGTTTGTCTATGATCGCCATTCTGGTTGAAGCTTAATTGCAACCTTGCTTCATTCCACCCTTGGCCATCGAGTACTGAAAAACCCTTTCCAATCTGAGTCTGTGCTTGGGCCTTGAGCCTTGATCCCCAATCCCGGAATCCCTACTGCCGTGAACACTCGCTTCGAGGGCGGCACCGGATCGTGTCGTGAGCCTGTGCCAAAAGCAATCCTAGACGATTTGCTTTGCTAAGTAACTTATACTATCAGTGTCCCCATGACCCGAATGTACCCTAAACCCGATTTTGCAGCGATCTTGAGGCCAGGTTACATCAACTTATATCGTCTGGCTTTATTCTAGGCCCTACCCTAAACCTGGTACAACCTGGTCCTGGTCAATAGACTACAAGTGAGGCACAGCAGGGAGGCTCCAAAGCCGGTAATTGTCCATACGTCTCTAAGACTCTGAACTGCCCCAAGGGGGACTTCCCTCCGCTTCGAAGGGCCTTGATGTCCGGATCTGGATACCGGATGGTGCGGCCGTCGTGGGTCTGTGCATACGGGACGCCACGCGGGCCTTGCGGCAGAGGCTCAGCTCAGCCTTGAAGGTTGAATTTCAGGCCTCACGGCTTAGGTTTAGTCCTCACGTTGAATGCAGGCAAGACAGGCAAAGCCAAAGATGGGAGAGTTAAACCGCTGGCAGGTTTCGGGATGCTCTTGCTTGTTGGGAAGACTGACTCCTGATCTTTTTCCCGGTCTTTCCTCTTTCCACTTAGACACCCACATTGCTTGAATCTCTAAACCCTAAACCCTAATCCGGAATACTGTGGCGACGCTCCCTCGGAAGTCTCCTCCCAGCCTCGGGTCACCCGCTTGACGCGGCAAAGCTTGTAGCTGGCCTCTTCCTTCGCCACCTTCCGACTTTAGGGTCGCGGGCTTGATGCTTTTTTTGGGGTTTGCACATCGAGGTCTGAAAAGCGCAGTTTTCGGATTTCGGGTTTGAGGCTGGCGTTTGCGCGCGTCTGGGTTCGGCCTGGAATGGTGTCGGATCTCGAATCGGTTTGTCGGCACGGTGAGACCCTCAAGCAACACACACGAACCCAAAAGCCATCGTGCAGGGAATGGTGAATGGTGACAGTCTTGCTTGGGGGAACCTGGACCACATCCTGAAGCCTCAGCACATGCTGTTCACAAAGTCACTGAAGGTGACGCTGCCAGGGCTGAGTGCTTGCGCGGATCAATCAACAACCAAGAACAGAAACACCTTTCAGCCAAGCCACACGAAGACCCACCAACCGTGGTCGTTCATCCCACGTCAACCCCTAACCACACGATTCTGGACTTTGGACGAAGGGCCCCTGAACCCGAATCTCCAAACTTCAGAAGCCCTAACCATAAGCCCCTAACCCCTGAACTCTCGTTGGACTTTTCACGCATATGCATATATATATATATACACGCATACGATGTCAATTGTTTAACGTCTTCTTACGAAGTGTTTCAACTTAAGCTGCAATCTCCTCCACTGTGCAAATTTGGAGCGCCAAGCAATACATAAATTCATTAAACAACTCGACATGTTACGCCAGGCTTGCCAGTGATCGGCTAGTGAGAAGAAGCAGCTTCGTACCAACACTCGCATCCAACCAAGCACGCAAGAAGCAAAATGAAGGGGCCGGAATCGCTAGACCTTTCATGTGTTAGGGTGGCAGATCCCTAAAGCGCCTTTTGGATGGCTTTCGAGCTGTAGGCGGTTTCCAAAAAGGACCTAGCCTTGTGGAGGTTGAAGCGGCCCTTGGTGTTGTACAGCAGCCGGAAGTTCTCCTGGACACGCACGCTTTTTTGGAAGGTGGGGGGTGCCTTGGGGGATCGGGGGTCGAAGGAGGCGCCAGTGTTGTTTTTGCAGCTTGGAGAACATGGGATCGCTGATGCCGGCTACTCCTACTCTTTCTCTGGTTGCTGCCGGCTGTGTTGTTGTGTGCCGTGGCTCTTTAATTATTTGCTATGATTCTGCAGCATCTGTTCGTCTAGTACTTCTGATCGCGACGACGATAAAGGAAGAGGAGGACTGCTGCCGCTTTCTACTGCAACTGCTAGGGCCTCTAAAAGGGTCCGGGCTACAAGGCTACGGCTCAGCATTTTCAGGTCTTTATCTCTTCAAGGCCTGAGGGATATGGGCTTTGGGTTTTGGGATGTGGGGGTTGGGCGCGGCAAGGTTTGTTGTTGTAAGCTGGATTCGGAAAGGGGTCTCCGTGTTGGGGGTGCGCGAATTTTCAATGAGGAGCCGCACGAACACAACTTTTGCGTCCTTGGTCTTGTCGATCTGGACCATGTCCATGAAACCGGCTGGGTAGAACATGTCCGTGCGGACCTTGCCGTCCTTGGACATCTTCGGTATTGGCATCTAGGGCTCTCGGCTACATGGACGACAGGGCGCCAGAGTTCATGCCAAGAGCACGAGCACGGAGTTTAGGGTTTAATTAAATTAGGATCTTGTGCTTGGACTCACAGCTTTGTGGCTAAGGCTTCGGGTTCCTATCGGAGCTGTGTGCGTCTGGGAGCATCAGAATCCGAACTTTTGACCCGGCTCGTCATCTGAACACGCAAACCCATGACGTCTGCCTACAAGAGCCTCAAGAGTTCGAAGCGCGGCAGGTTTTCTCCCTTCACGCAAGCTTCGCAGCTGTCGACCGAGGCCAACACGTAAAGCCTCATCAAAGAAGCCTTGGGTGTAAAGATGCTCCGCTACTGCCGGCAGACGGTCACCTCGAATCAGGCATTTCGCAGCTTCCCGTCGGGTAGGTTGGTGTACCTTGGCCGTTGCCATGGAACACTTTCGAAGCTGCCCTTCCCCCGGTGCCGGCATGAAGGCTGTGAAGACCGAGTGTTCCGTTGTCGACTCCGGGCCGAGGTGCACCCAGTAGGTCACGTCACTCCTTGTTGACCAGGAGGTTTCAAGGCTCTCGAGCACCTGGGAAGGCTTTCACATGGAACAAACAGTTGAAGGCAACTGTTTGTCGATTTGAACTGCTGCTTGTACGCATAATACTACTGAGCTAGCCATCAATGTTGACGTTCACGGTCAACCTGGGCTGCCACTAGGGGCCCGAAAAAGAGACCACACGAACAATCACCCCATCCCGAATACTGGACCGTCCGCAGCATCTCCCTCTAGTTCTCGTCATCGTGATCAGCATGAGGCATCATTGCTGTCTGGTAGCAACGACAACAATGTTTGTGACGACGATGACTAAAGACCAATGTTCTTTTGAAAAAGCACCCGTGTCAATAGTACGGGCACAGTTAGTGCTTTCTATTTTCGCACCATTTCTGATTCTGATGACAGTGCTGATCAATTCCTGCATGTTTGCAACATCACATCAACAGGACAAAAATTAACCCTAGTCCCAAAGAACCCGGGAATGAAGCCGTCTGTCCATTTGCCCATGCTTATGTTCATCTCTATGTACTGAAATACATAGGTCGATGATGGTATATAGATACCTGTGCATGTAGGTACAAGCAGGTAACTTCAAAGAACCTGATGTCCGTCGGCCGTCCTGACAAAGGCGAGCATTATTGACTGAGGCTCACGTTCAGCCGAGGGGCCCCAAGTGACCTCAGTGTCGTCGGCGGAAGCTCGCGTGACGTTACCAAATACCTGGGACAAGGCTTTGTGGAGGCGATTGGAGGCGCAAGGGTCGACAGGTCGCTGGATCTCTTTGCGAACTATGCGCTGTATACACCTCAAAACTGCGGAATTTGACGACAGCAGGAATCCTGTGAAGCATGGGATGTCAGTGGCATTCGGTGGCCCTGGCCGTATTGGGTCACAGCAACGTGAGCGCCAAGATACCACTAACTCCATTAGCAACACTGCTACTACTCGGGAGGGCCGTCCGTCGGGGCTGTCTGCCAAGCGGCTTCAGCTTGGAGTTCTCCTCGCAAAGACGTCGAAGGCACTCCTCGGTCACTTCCATCGCTTTCTGCAGCTTTTGGAGATGACAAGAGCGGCTTCTGTGTGGGTTCCTTCGGAACTCAAGAGACTTCTGTCGGAAGTGTTTTTTCAGGCGTCAGCGGGTGCGGAAGCCTTGTGCCTTGTGAAGCTTGTGAGGATTCCGTTGCATCAGCTGCGCTGTCACAAGACCAAAACAGCCGGGCGGTAGCTAAGTGTTCTGCATTTGCATGGTTCCAAAAGCTGTGGCTACTTCGCGTTGCTGGAACTGCAGTTGCTGTTGTGTTTGTTCATCGTTGCTCTTGCGCTTCTCATCGACTTGTCGGCCGAGGTTCCATCGCCCGGTCGTCGAAGCACGTGGAGGAAGAAAAGACGATGGTCGAGTCCGACCAGTCCTCCTTGGGGATTAGGCCCGGGCTTGTAGTAGCACCTCTTGAATCCTGCTTGCGGGTTCTTGCCTCTTGGGATGCCCCTCTCTGGCTCTTCCAGCAGTTTCAAAACGCTTCATCAGATCCTGGATTCAAGCCCATCTGCATGCGCTCACTACCGTAGCATACTACATCGCCCCGTCTTGGTGGAACTGGAACGGATGTGGCCATGTCGAACCACTCTCGTTGTGTGGCTCTGGCCCGCTTCTGATGAACTCAGGGCTGTTAGAACATGCAAAATCAAAAGCATCTTAGCCAGAAGCTTGAGCCGCTAATAAACCCTGCATGCACAAACCGCGAGCCCTAGTTAAACTCAACTGAACCGTGATTCTGTGACCTCCGAAACCCACAGGAACACTCCTTGCAAACATCGCCGTTCACCAGCAGGATCTCTTTGTCCTTGCTAACCTGTCTCTTGGAGCTCTCCCTTAGCTAAAGTGGGGCAGCTCAGGTCTGGGCATGTAGGCTTATGATCACTTATAGTAGTTTTGGGAGTTGGGGATTCTGATAACCTTCGCTTGAAAGGCAAAGCGAGGCGCTCCCGAAGGGTTGGTTTGAAGGATGCAGGACTCTCTTCTTCGGACTTATATGTCGAGGAAGCTCCAAACCCAAAGCTCCAAAACCACGTCAAACTCTGAGCCCGATACTCATCAAAGGGCTTAGGAGCTTCTGTTGGGCTTCTGTTATTTGTGCGTTCCACGGAATTTCCTCTTGCTTTCAAACTTTCGGACTCAGGAGTTCTTCTTAGCCTAAGTCATCCTAAGTCGCCCAACCAATTGGAGCCGGGGAGCCTGGTGCGTGCGCCGGAATTCCTCTGCATGCCTCATGGCATCATTGTGCCTTTCCTTCACGAACTCGATGCCACGAACGCGTTCTTGGTAAAGACAGCGGAGGTGTGAGCTTAAGTGTCCTCTTCGTTTCTGAGGTGTGTTAAAGCATGCTTTCGTCAAGTGCTCCCAAACGTAACCGACGTAACCCTCAGCTTCTGCTTCTTTCTGCACCCCTCGGATGCTTACGGGCTGAGGGCGGCTTGGAGTTCCTGTTCTGCAGGCCTTCGTCTTTCAAGGAGCGCATGCCGTGCAAAACCCAAACAACTGAAAGACTTAGAGTGTATGTATATATATATATATGTATATATATATATATATCAAACCCGAAGTTCTATTGAACCCCAGACCAGACCTTGCACCGCTAACCAATGTCAAAAATGGCCATCTTGCCCACTGTCTCCGTTGATGTATTATATCCTAGCGGGCATTGTGGGCACCGAGGCGCGCATCGGAGTGTTTGCATAGACCTGCAGGGCCACGTTGCCGATGCCCGAGCCCAGGTCCGTAAAGACATCCTCACAGGCGGAAAAGGGGAGTGGACGTGGTGGGGTTTTGGGTTGAGGGTTTGGTAAGGCTGAGGGTACACTGCTGTTTAGGGCTTATAGGGTCTGGGGGATTTTTATGCTTTTGTTGTCTTAGGGTTTTAGAGTTTACAGTGTTTACAGCTTTCTACTCTAAACCAGGTCTGCTTAGGGGTCTTCATTATGACAGTGAAGTACTTGTTACGGGATCCGAGAGTTACTGCTGATGAAGTGTCTTGGGGCTTTGGCCCGCTTGGACTGGCGGCGTTGGACTTAGGGTAGGTTTTGCGATTAGCGCTCGGAGCCCGAAATTCCAGACATGCTTCGGAACAGGGCTGCAATGAAAGCCGAGCAACACCCCAGAGCCGACACAAAAGAAACTCCGAAAACTCCGATGAACTACTCGACAAGTATGGGTGGCAATGAAAGCCCATGCTAGCCGCATCAAGACACTGACGGCTCGAATTCCAAGCGCTTGAGCACGGAGCGCACCTTGGAATGCGCGGATTTCGCTTCGATCGAGCAAGGAGGGTTTGGTGCTTTAGGTTGGGATGTCGTGGCACTATGCACCACTTGGAGCTTAACAATCAGAGAGGATTGAATGTTGCATGTGGTGTAAGTTGTCTCAAAACGTTTACGTTTGGGATCTCTTCCAGGAGCCTCGTGATGCGCACAGGACGTACACATCGATGCAAAGTATGCCGGGTTGTATCACAAGACACATAGCTCTCATAGTATGGGTGGTCGAACCACGGGATTGGCATAGTCCGGAACCTTCATCCTGCACCCTCCGCCTTCGCAAGGAACATCAACAAACCACACTGCGAAAGTTCAAACAACCTGCCAGATTGACTCCATGCCACAGCCTGAGCACTGAACCCTAAACCCTGAACCTTAAACGAATCAAAGCCAAAGCGCCGACTTCGGGGTGATCGTGCCATAGGCGTACGTGATGCTCTCCTCGCCTGAGGGCATCTTGGGAGGTCGCGTATATACATATGTATCTGTATATATATATATATATATGCACACACCACTGTATAGTCCTTCTTGCTCCTATCAGACCAGGCTTATACTGCAGAATCTCCTTTCTTGCCGTTGTCGCTCCAATCGTTTCCGATGGTTGTAGTTGTCAATACGGTTTGCAACTAAGAGTTTTCACGCTGCGGCAGAAATCGAGGGTCCGGCGCTACATACCCCAAACCTTGAAGTCTTCCCATTTCACCTACCAGGGGCTCTCTGAGTTTCTTCCAAGATGCTAAAGGAAAAAAATATGTCGCGCTCTTCCTGGGAATTCGGATTCGCGAAGTTTCCTGGGCGAGGAAAGGGAGACGGCCCTGGAACAACGCTTTAGGCTTTATCCCATACTTATATACTTATATACTACAGACCATGCTAGACCGCGCTATAGTCTATATTATCGCGTGCAATACAACTGCTTGGGGTGGAAGCTTCCAGCGCACTGACCCCCGAGCCGCGACGATGTATGAGGTAGCATGCAAAGGCTGCAGAATATGACACACTGGGCCCTTGGATGGAAGGAGATGTCGTGAGGTGCGCATTCGGATGCTGGAGTGTAACATCGGGGAAGATAGATAAGAATCCATGCCATCACCTGCCAAGCTTCCAAATATTTTGGAGAGGCAGCTGTCATCACCTGGGACTTGCACAGGAAAAGGCATATCTCATTCTTGGACTATGTTGGAGTGCTTCGTTTTGGAGCAGTTCCTCGAAACTGAGTGCCACAACGGCCCTCAGAACAGTGAGCTGCGATACGCTGATCTTGGCGTCTCAGTAGCTACAAAGAAACGGAAGGCAAAAACGTTAGCTACCCGCATTATAAACACTTCGGTTATTGCCCCCATCGCCGAGCACCTGTGTTGGCATATCTGCGCGAGCTGGCGATCGCAAGACACACTTCGTAAACATAACGGGGCTTGGTAAACGGGGGATTAACAAGCTCAAAAATGGGATGGCCGCAACTCGGCACTTCGAAGGCTGGTTACAAAAAGCTACTTCCCAAGCCCCTCGAAAAGAAGTCATGAGAAAGGGCTCTCTTCAAACCTTGCACCTCGAACAAACCAGGGCACCTTAGCTTTGGCTTTGAATCCGGCTGTTGGGCTCAGGCTTCGGGGCTGCAGCTTCACATAGCCCCAAATACGAAAGCCTGTGCCGCAAATCCTTTGAATCTACAGTGAACCCCAGAAAGTTGGAACGGAACATGATTTAAGGATGATAGGTTCCGGATTCCCTATACTTTACCTTAGGGGCATGAGGACAATGATGTTCCAACTTTCTGGGTTCTATCATATCCCAATGCAGCCAATTTGGCACACCTCTGCGGGTGAAGCGGAGGCAGTATCCTGGTCCCGGTTTGTCTTGGGGCTTACGGCATCAGTTCACCTGGCTCGTCCACTCTATTTCTAGAGTGACATGTGCATTCTTCACGAGATGCCGAAGTTCCTTTGTTGAAACTCACTCCACAAATATACCATATATATATGTATACACATACATACATATATATATATACATATATATACACACACAAATATATATATATATATATATACATATACATATGTTATACGTATGTATATGTTCAAAGGCATCCCTTTCTTCAATTCGTTTCTTTGGGGCGTGCTAAGTTCCTGCAGCTTTCGTGGCCAAACCAAAGAGACAGGATCTACAGAGATTAAGAAACCAAGGGAATCCCTGAATGGAACCCAAACAACGGGGATCCTTCTTTCAAGCCTGCGGCACCCTGCAACTCGTGAAAGTGCCCATCCAGCTATGGGACAAGGTTGCGGGGTTTGTGTTCTACAAATATATGAAGCGAAACAGCATGAAAGCTCCGGAACAATCTCTATTTTCTGTGGAAAAAGAAGCAAGCCCACATAACTTTAACAACTAAGCGAGAGCCCCAAACCCCAAACCGTCCCTTGCATTCGGGTCGTTGCTGCCTTGGCGAGGGGTTGACTCAGGAGAGCCGCTGCAGAGAGCAGCGCTCGCCGAGAGCTGCCAGGCCTAAATCTGGGGCTTTCAGAAAAAGAAAAAGGTTTTGGGCTAGATTGTATCTGGGCTTCAGGTGTCGGCTCAGCCTGTAGGGTACTTTGCAAGTCTTTGGACACAAGGACCGATTCCAGTTTTGGATGAAGTCTTTGTGACGACGAGCGCTGCGCGGCGTGGCCTGAACGTGAACCCACCGACCCCTGATCCAATCCTGAGCAATCACTGAGGGCATCACTGGAGGAGGAAGCCTGACGACAGGGCAAGGGTTCCACAATCTTTCGGTTGGAGGTCAAAGGGTTTGGGTGATTGCGGTCTCAGGGTTTCTTGTTTCGGGGTTGCAGGATGGACTGTGGGGCTGTTCGTTTTCATTTAGGGGTTTCAGTTCTGGGCTCAACCTAAGCTCCCACGATTTTGGGGGTTTAGGCTTCGGATTTGGATTCTTGTAGCTTGAGGATCCTGGGCTATGGTTTTAGGGCGCAGCATGTCTCACGAAGGTTGACAACATCTCGACTTTGCGCTTGCTGATCAAATGAAGGATCTTGCACCCACGTCCCTCGGAATGGTCATGCAAGGGTGCCAGGCAGGCCCAAACCATCCAATCCAATACGGCCGAAACATCTGTCCAAGGCACTACCCGAAAAGCCCTGTGAGCTTTGCCAGTACAGAGCCTACGGTGCTTAACCCTCAAGTTCTCAAGGCCCAAAGCCCTAAGACCCAGTCCACAGCAACACTAGATTGCTGCAACATCGGCTGGGCACGATTTTTAGTTCCGAGCCGCAATCCTACTAAACACTGCATCCCCGATCCCCTCCAGCCTAAACCCCGTTGGCTAAAATCCTTCCAGCACCAGAAGGCCCAGACCTGCGATGGCAGAGGGCTCTGGCGAATGCCGAAGTAGCAGAAGGGCCTCGGGACTCAGGTCACAGCTCCCTTGAAGGGCTTTCGGTGTAAGCCAAGCTTGAGAAAGAAAGGGGACTTTAAAGGCCTGGGCTGAAAGGTCAGTACTTGGACTTTTGCGTTCCGCCCTTCTGGAAGACGACGAAGGAAACAACTAGTGTCGACGTGAAGCCACCAGCCCAAAGTACGGCCGAGAGTCCGAAACCCCCTTCGGCTTTCAAATGGCGTAGCAAAGTGTTACGCGGGCTCAGGGCTCTGGGGTGTCGGAATTTGTGGATTGATTTTGGACCAAAGCAAGCTTCGAAAGAGGGCCGTGCGCCCCTGCAGCTCCTTTTAGTAGGGCCCCAAACAACAGGGTGGTTCTCTAAACTCGGGTCCCTTTGCAGGTCTCCAATGCAATATAGACAAGGACCCTAAAAGGGACCCTAACTTAGAGAACTGCCCAAGAACATAAACAACCATCAGGACAGCAATATAAACCCCATCCTAATGAAGCCCGACAGGGTAGGGATATCACCGTAAAATGCTTAGGCTTATGTCCTTTCTTAAATTAGGTTAGATGTCAGTGGCAACCCCGATCCCAAAAATCCCCGGAAGAGCTGAACTTGTTTGAGGCAGTGGCGGAAGCCACGGGCCAAACCCAAGCGAGTCCTTTTGCCACACACAGCATGTCTGACAAAGCACTGCGGGAAACGCTGCACTTCCGAGAGCCATACGGATGAAAGCACAACCTGATCAACAAAAACACAACCTGAAAACTCGGACAAATTGACACCAGGCACCTGTTGGAGCCTGTTTCTGATAGATCAATCGTCTGCTGGTCGAAGTCCCCGTAGATTCCGAGGTCCAAGGAACGGGAACGTGTGCAAACGTGGCATTGGCAGAAGACTCTGGGTATTGGTCTCTCTAGAGTTTGATGCTAAAGGATCGCTTGTGTGTGGATATTGAATCCAAGAAGGTGTTCGAGCAAGCTTGCGGTCCTCGCGTCCGCGCTGGACGTCTTGCTCGCTTGCATGTCGTCAGGATCGCCATGGCAGAGCAAGGCAGATCAATCGAGGAGGCCATGCAAATTACAACAGATGTCTCACGATTATACAGGTACTATAACAGACACCCGACTTACTTTCGGTCATACCCCGCGCAAGTCTAGATCCCTAAACCCCAGGCCTTCTACATACCGAAATGGATGGGATTCAACTCCTGAGAATCAGCTCATGGATTCCCTTCTTTGAGGCTCAACCTCTAGAGTTTGATGCGAATTATGCTCCTTGCTAGTCCCTACCTGTGTCTGTGCTGCTCTGGTTCGAGTTTGCGACTTCGCGTCTAGCACTAGTCCATGCAGGCTGAAGTTTCGAAAAGATTTCGGCTAGGCGTTTCTAGGAAACCTCTTCTTGAATGCTGGGACATCTCAGCTGAAGCCGGTGTGCAGCAACAATGCTCGAGTTTCGATTTTCGGGTTGGGGGCCGGAGGGACTGTGCGTTCGGGCTTGCCAGTTTCGGGTTTGGGGTTCGGAGTCTAAGCAAGGGTTTAGGGTATTCCTGCATCTCTAAATTTCAGGATCGAGAGACTCGGGGGTGATCCTGACTCATCCCCAAAATCTCCGACAGCGACGCCAAACACAATGCCGCACAGTTCTCATTGACTCATTGCACCTCAGATCATAGGGGCCCGCGGGGGACTGAGTAGCTCCTCTGCCAAGTTTAGCAAAACCTAACCACTGACCCCAAGTAATGCTAAGCCTGAAAGCGTTTAGGGACCCAGACCCCTGAACTCCGAGGCCAACAGCTTGCGTCTTCATGAAAGGCGGCTTGCTGAACCTCTTATCTCGTCGTAAGTTCTTCAGGATTGAGGACTGTGTCCAAATCTATAAACTTGCAGCCGACAGGCTTGAATTTCAGCTAAACCCCGTGGTCCCCTCCCCAACCTGCTGAAACAGTGAGTATAAGCTCCTGGCAACCTTGATCAGCCTCTGCATCACAATCCTGGGCTTCTTGACTGTAGCTCTGTTATGCTGCCGTGACGAGTTGCTGCTTTTGCACGTATATATTGGGATACCGCGGATGGCAACGATGAGCCTGACAATGCTTGCCACGGATGTTTGTGAATGCTCCTGCCACCAACATCACACTCTTCCTTCCCTGCCCTGCCTACACAGTCTTCTCGGCAAGGCTCCTATTCAGTTCGGCAAGCCTGCGCACACGCCCTGGAAGTGAGCTTGAGGACGCTCTGACTCTAATCTCAGCTTGAGGAGCACAAGTATAGGATCGTAGTCAAGCAGTCCTGAACCCCTTGTGTTGAGGCCGCCCGAAACTTTTTAGGGTATGAGTGCGGTACAGTGAACCTGCGTCACATACGAAGAACAAAAAGATAGCTGTGTCGATGGGACCCAACACACTTTCCCATTGACGTTGGCAAACACCGGATTCCCACATGATATATCCGCACCACGGACCGAGCTTCGGGTTCCTTGATCAAGCAAGCCTTCATCCATTAAGGGCCCGAAGGAGCATCGCGTGGGGATCTGCCTGGTCGCATGGCTTTATATGGGAGCATCATGGTACGGGTTTCCTTGCTGCTGCGCGCATGGGTAGGTTGAAATGCACACCCGAAACCCGAGACACATTGTCCCCGGAGCCAGGCGGCATCTTCACCTCACGGTAGGTCAAGGCCTGGGACCAGCAACTTCAATCTCGCAGCGGTCGGGGTCTGCCTAAACAATAAGCCTGAATTTGTTATGGCGGGTGATTTGCAGTATGGTTTCATTCGTTCTCCGGACCAGACCAACAAAGCGGCATTTTGGGATTCAGAGGTGTGAGGTTTGGGCTTAGGGCTGGGAGGTTGCGGATTGTGGAACTCTAGGAACCTAAAAGTTGTGGCAGTTCTGGTTTAGATCGCTTGAAGCAGAGAGGTCGAGTCTCATTGCTTTGCAAGGCTGCTGCAGAGGAGCCTAGATCCCTGAGTCCCAAACTGTAAACGGAAGTCTCAGGCATCGTATCTCCTTCAGCACCCTACTGTAAGCCCCAAAACCTCTGCGCTCCAGCAGGGCCTTGGATGAGCTGGATGGGGGCCCGATTCGGCCCAAATAGCCTGTGGTTACACTGTCGTAGCAGAAGCAACCGACAGTCTCTAAGGATGTACCAGAAACCCCCAAAGCCCCGAGCCCTCGTCTGTATTCCGGTTTTACCGGGGCTTCCCGCATACTTCAGGCGCTGACGCAGCATCACCTCGCCGCAGCAGCTTTTGAGGACGCGACACTCTTTTTTTCGGGGTCCTGCATAGGGGCAAGTAGGGGCCTCTCATTAGCCTTTAATCTGGGGCCAGTGCTCAGAGCGCTCCTTGGGGCCCTCGCTCTCGGCGGCGCGGAGAGCTCAGCCCAAAAGCAATTCTTCCGCCCCGCCGCGCTTTTTCTTCTTTTTGTTGCAGGTTGAAAAAGACTGACTGATCAGTCCTCCCTTTAGACCCGAAACGTCAACACCAAACAGCCTGGACCTCGTGATCCGAATAGCGACCCAGACTCCAAGCCATGCACCCAAAACAGCTCGAGGGAAGAACTTGCCCAGGGCCACTTCCTCATGCCACATACAGCTTTTTTCATAACCCCAGGCCCTTAAAGAGACCGGGCACTGCGACCCGAGAAGATTGAAGCCTACGCCCAACCTAACCTCCTAAACTTCAGACGCAAGTCGAAACCACAAATCACCGGGTCAAGTGGCAATCAGCGGCATGCACTCTCGGAGCTTGTGAGGACCGGCAGAAGGCTTCGGTGCCTCTTGAATTATTCTTGTGATTTGTAGGATTGGGATGCCATGTTCTTGGTGTTTGCGTGGGGTGAGATTTTAGCTTAGAGCTTCGAGGTGTAGGCTGTTCTACAGAGGCCGTACACACTGTACACACTTAACGTAGACGAAACGTCCGACCTTTGATTGAGTATGGACCTGAAAACCTTATCTCCCAAAACCGTTATCAATGCCCTAGTTTGGAACTGTTCTGTGCTAAGGGCTTTTTAGGAGATGCTGTTGGGGTTCGTTGCAGGCTTCTTCGTCTTGTGGTTCAAGGCTTCGCATGTCTTATCATGTCTTGAGCCTGAAGTCGAAACACACCCCAGTCACGAACAGACCGCCGGATTTTGGAAGCCGATCCATATCCCCTCCGGGGTACTTATGAAAGGCCTGATGAACCCCGCAGATTCTCAAAACCGCCCGCAGCTGGGCTTTGGGCCCATCGGCCACGAAGCTTGTCCAGCATCCAATGCTTTGGCGCCTCGAGCCGAATGCCGCACAGCGTTCGCCGGTGTATTGCAGTTTGGCACAACAAGCCATGCTATCCGACTCGTACACAAATGTGGCCATGATGATTTCCTTCTCATCCTAGCGCAGCAATACTCCGAGACGGGTGAACGTGTTCGAGGTTTATTTACTCACAGGTTTATAGTATTAGCTCCTCTCGCCAGACAGGAAGCCGTTGAGTCTGTCTTCAGGTCCACTGCAACCCGACGCTTCGCGTGCAAATCGCGTCATGCAGGGCATTCGGGGCATGGATATCACGGATACATGCCGTCGAGTGCCCAAACTTGTCAACGCCCTTTGTGCACTTCTGCCGGACTGTGGGGTTGGGCTTGGCGTTTGGGTTTGCTGCTGTACTGAAGAGAGGCAAGCAGCATACATGCGCTTCAAGTGCTTGATGATGCCGCGAGCCATGATGTCCTGGGTCCGTCAATAGGGTTGCTTCAGACTGGATTCTCTCATTAGGGGTAGATGTTCCCGGCTAGGATGAACACTTTGGCAAAACGCTCTTCTTTTCGACTATTGCCGAACCCCGCACGACAAAAGTCACACACCTGCTCTGAGGTTTGGGGTTGCAAGATTTCCTTTAGGGTTCAGGGCCAAGGGCTGGGGCCACAAGCATTTCGAAGGACAGCAAGCATAGCCGGAAAGAGTGTCGCTGCAACAACGGTAGTACTCAGCAAGCAGTAGTAGTAGCAGTAGTAGTAGTAGTAGTAGTAGCAGTAGTAGCAGTAGTAGTAGTAGTAGTAGTAGTCGTAGTAGTAGTAGTAGTAGTAGTAGTAGTAGTAGTAAGTAGTCGTAGTAGTAGGTAGTCGTAGTAGTAGGTAGTCGTAGTAGTAGTAGTAGCAGCAGCAGCAGTAGTAGTAGTAGTAGAAGTAGTAGTAGTAGTAGTAGTAGTAGTAGCAGCAAGCAAGCAGCACTGCCACCACCATGGCGGTCACAGCGACGGGTCGGCAAATATCTGTTTAGGATTGCGCAGTAGACGTATCAATAAGGATAAGTAGTCGTGTGGAGAAGTCTTGCATCAGGGAGAAGGGAGCATTGTGGATTAGCCAGGATCCGAGGTTCTTGGATGCTACAGCCGAATCACCTAACCCTGAAAGCCACGGGTCTGAAGCAAACCCAAACCTCGATGCCTACTTTAGGCCTGGGCCTTGCAGCCAAGGAGCTCAAGTCAGCTAATGGGTCCGCTGTTCTTTCTGGGGAGGGAAGGCGCTAAACGTCCGCTATTGATCCGCATAGAGACAAGCGGGGTTTGGCGCTTCGGGTGTTGGATTCCGGCAATGACCAAATTCCAGGCACTGGCGACAGGAGCCGCGTCCGACTTCCTAAGCCAAAGCATCTAAAGGGGAGTAAGATTGGCCCCAAGCCCTCGGCAACGGGTCCCTCAACAGGCACCCAAACTTCAACAATGCCAGACTTGTCTTGGGATGAGGTAGAGGGTGGAAGGATGTTTGGGAAGTAACGACCAAGCATGGGCTACCTCTGGCAACACCTGCCCGCAATCTGAAACATGGGACACAACTCGAAGCCGAAAACCCGCGGTTTCTGGGCGCAGATACTGCCTTGCCACTGAGGAATCTGGCAGAGTTGAGTTGAAGGCACTGTCATTTCGAGTGCAATTTGTTCGCAATTCCTGACTCCGGGTGTCAACCGGGAAGCTTTGGAAAGCATGTCGCCTTTTGCCAGACACTGCTTTGAAGCCGTCCGGAGGGTCGCAGTGAAACGTAGCGGAAGTTGCACGACAGCAGACTGGCACTTACGGGCTTAGGGTTTACAATTTGGGGGTAGAAGCAGCCTGAATTGGGCATGCGACTGCATCTGTAAGCTCTTGTCAAGGTAATTTGGATCCTCAACCTTAAACCCCAGACCCCACCTTTGGGCTTTTGAAGAGAGATCCAGAAACGATGCAATAGACTCTGCCTCAGTCAAAGCTCTCCTGCGCTCCGCAGGGTCTTTAAGTCTTTTGCAGGAAACCCACACGAGCTCTGCTTTACAGGGTTTAGAGTACCTCGCACAATCAGCTGTTAGAGGCATTTAAGTAGAATAGGAGCCTGCCCTGTTCCTTCCTTTTTGCGGGGCTCGCTCACTCGTTTGACCCAAGTTGTGGACTTCAAAGTTGTGCATCTTGGGCACGTCCCAAGCACTGAAACACCCGAAGGGTTGCATCCCTGAACCCCCCCCCCCCCCAAGCGCTCAAACGAAAAACCATCGACCCCAAACCATGGATGTCACTTCAAAGATTCTTTTAACACGGGCCTGCCTGGCCTAACTTGAAAAGTTTCCCATTTGGAAGCACAGCGGAATTGATTTCTTTAAGAGTTTGTACTAGACTAGACTAAGTTTGGGCATTGCGACGCGGAATGGGGCTCTATGAACCAGCCTGTCTGCATTCAGCAGGAGCTTTGGTTAGTTTTCTCGGGCAGACGTGGTCTTTGTCGGCTTGCCAGGGGCCTGTATCAGGCCTTGACAATTCAATTGCATGAGAAGGTATTTGGATGCTAAGGCGGAGGGGCTTGGGTCTTGAACTCTTCACTGGTTGTTGGCGGCTCGGTCTTCGAATTTTGCGAATGGCCACGGTCTTCCAGGTGTCTGGAGGTCAATACCCCAAGCCCGAGTCTCTCTTCCCTCCCTCTGGGATGCGGGCCACGTCGTCGTTGTCGGCGTTGGCTCCAAGCTGCGCCTAGAAATCGGGAGAACAGCTGAGGTGGTAAAAACAAGAACGAAAATCTAGCAATGCAATGCAACAAGACATACCAGTAGGCAAGTAGCCAATAGCAGTACCACATGTGCGAAGAGGAACATGCTGAAATGAGTGCATGGAGCCCATGTAAAGCGACGACGAACAGCATGGCGACCAATACTGTAGGCTAGAAGACAAGCACCGATGAACATGAAGCATGCTGAGGGTTGACAAGTTCAAACTTTGCCATTTGGGTGGCAGATGCAAGTCTTCAGACTCGGCTCTCGGAGAGCTTAGGCTTCCTCATGTCTGTCTGAATTAGGCTTTGCTTTAGGGCTTGGGCCCTTCGGGTTGGAGTACCGTCTGCCAGATAAAAGTGCACGCCAAGAGCCTGACAATGTGAAATAAGCATAATTCGTCTTGAAGCACGTTATTTGAAGGTCATTCGATTGCGGTTTCAACTTTGGCGTTCAGCGTCACCGCCGCTACCACCACGATGCCGCACAACCCCTAACTAAGACACAGCAACACCGTGTAACGCGGGCGCACTACGTCTTCCGATCCTTCAGGACTGCTGGTCTAGGTAGGGTCTCGGGCTTAGGACAACCGGCAATCTAAATAAGCCCAGAGGGCCCAAAGCTAGGTTTATCACTACCAGCGGTACTAAACTAGCAGCGTTGCCAATAGCAGCAGTGTCGGCTTTATTGCAGATAGAATGCACATGGTGGCATTCTGTTTAGGGGTATTTAAACTGGGCTTGCTTGAAGACCAGGCATCTCTTCAACATCGGGTTTCGTGATGTGAAACCATTTTCAAGTATTTAACTTACAAAAAGAAATATCAGGACCTGCCGCCGCAACCGTAGGCTTCAAGGTTAGCGTAAGTCTAACATGAGCATGACGCGCAAAACACGAACTTGCGGATAAAACAGTCCTGAAGCTTCTGTCCATCACATAGCTCCTGAATCATGTAGCCGAGACTTATTAAATTTATTGAAGCTTCACCACCGTACATGCTGCACCCAATGGGGTGGAAGCTGGGCTCGTGGGTCCCCAACACTCAGAGGACTGGGCTTGACGACGTTGTGCAAGACTCCTTAAGATATACGAGCATTACAGCTTCCCGGATCGCTGCCGAAACCATCTTTTCTTGCGTTTGGCGACCTTAGCTTCACCAAGCTTCAGAACGGACAGTAGTGAAGAGCCACCGGTTCCGCAACGGTTCTGGTAACCAACAGCTCGGTTGATGTAGGAAGTTCGCGGCTGGATGCGCCATCTTCGCTGCCGTCCCAAACTTCAGAACATCTCGGTGTGCGTGCCAATTTCTCCAAATGTTGCTCTCTCTGCTCCTGTCATACGTGTTACGGTCTGGGCTTAACAGCTTGGCGATCAAAACTTTTCGGCCTGTGTTGCGGGTGGAGGGGGGGGGGGTGGGGGGGTGAAACTGGGGGTCACCGGCTCATGACATATATATATATATACATATATATATGTATTATATGTATATGTCGCAGATTCCTACCTCGCCTTGCTCGGACTGTCAAGCCCTCGGGAGCATCAAATCTCCCAGGACTTCAGACCTTTGACAGTGTGGTTGAGGTTTAAGGAGTTTGAGGCCCGGCTGTGACTCAAAGCTCATGAGGGTTTTTGACCCTAGGTTGAAAGTGTTGGCATGTCAACTTGTAGTAGCCCTGCAGGAGGAACAGCTCGCACAGAAGCGGCAGAAATGAACAGAAAAAAGCACCCACTGCACAGCTAAGTGGGCGCTGAGAAAACTGTTATTCGCCAAGAGTCTAGAGAGCCCGGAATTTCGATAACTGTTGGTGCATGTTGTTACGGCGTTGTGAATTGTGAAGATCATGCTCCGCTATTAATCATCCTTGCGTCGAGCAGGTTGGGTGTGTACTCCACGTTTGCTGTGCACAGACCACACCATACAGATAAACTCTACACCCCTAACGTCGGGTTTCAACAGCCACAAAAATATTCCCAACAGGAGGACCCTCGAAAACAGTCCTACTCTCATACTAGTATAGTGCATAGAAATGACCCGGGCTCTCCGGAAGCTGCATATCTAAACGGATTTTCAGCCAGCAGCTCCGCTCAGTTTCAGGGTTTTGGGTTCAGGAATTCGGGTTTCTCGGCTCTCTTCGAGAGACCGACGTCCTGGAGCATTTCGATGCACGGTAACTTGATCTGAAGCTCCCTGTCCTATAAACAAGGGGCCTTAACAATTAGAATAGGGTTTTGGAGTATAGGTAATTATTAAAGCCACTATGGTACCTCCTTGAACGGGGAGTCCGGTGGCCCCCTTTCTTTCACCCAGGGACGACAAAGGAAGAAGGGAGGTCAGATGAAACTTCAGGAGGCAAGGTGGCGTTACGGCCTTTTTGCGAGGTCTTGCTTGGAATTCCAATCCTCCACCCCCGAGCAAGAACCTCTTTGCAAGCCCTGTAACACAAGCTCTTGTTGAAACAACCCCCCCGAAACTCTAAGCAACGCTAGAAACATCCTCTTTAAGTCTTGGAGTCTTGAAAGAAAAAAACACCAGAACCCTAAAAATGCGGAGCCGCTGGACGAAGTGCTTCGGCTCAGTCGACACGCTTCTGGATCTCGAATGTCTTCTTGTTGATCTGAACCTTATCGCCCACCTCCCGGCGGTCGCTTCGTGTGGTTAGACCTTTAGGGAATAAAGCGAAGGGGTTAAAGCTATGGACGCCTTGGGTCCATTAGGGCTTGGGGTTGGGGGGTCAGGTCTTGGGGCCGAGCACGGGGCCTGCAAAGCAGGGTCCAACAAAATCTTTTCATCATCGGCAGCGACAGAACCCGAACCTACTAAAGCCGCACTGCTGTAAGGGTACTTTTAGGCAATGAAGCCCAAACCCATCTTTGAGCGTCGAAGGAAGCAGAGCTCTGGGATTGGATTTCGGAGCTTTCGTCTTCCTGAGTCCGTCTCCCTGCATCCGATCCTGAGAAGGATATTGTTGACGCATCTGTAAACTCTTGCTGTGATTGGGATCGCATGGACGAGCGAAGTTGCCCACTTACGTTTCGACCACCAAGGGCTGGGAAAAAGCCCTTGTGCAGTAACAGCTTCAGACCCCGCCTTGATGTAGGCCGGCGCCTGCCTGTTCACGCCATTCTCAAGCTGGACGAGCGCATCCTGGCTTTTTTTGCGGGCATCATCTCGCTTGCTTTGCATGCAAGCAAGCAACACATCCTTGATCTGCCGTAGCACTGTCGCCAGTGAGTGTTCATGGCCGTCCCAATCGTACTGATAGCAAGCGCTGTTCTGAGAGATTAGGCGGCGAGCCTTGCCACTGTCTTTCTTCGACACAATTTCGGTCACCTCCAAGATGATGTCGTCGGGCACCTTGTAAGGCTTCGAAGAAATGTAGTCGGGATTCCAGGGTGCCAGCGCAACACAACTCTGAGCCCTAAGCCGTCGCAGCTTTACATCCCCTCCAAAGTCCTGACTATCACCTCCAAAAGCCTAGTATTAAGCGAAGGTTTCTTGAGCTTGTGGGTTTCAGTTGTTTTCGGCTGTTTTCCTTCCTGCCAGTTTTGCGACTCTGGGTTCAGACTGCTCTCACATCTGCCGCCAATCTCAAAGCCCCATGAGAAAAAGCCCAATGAGGGCCTGGATGTCGATGACCTTGCCCTCATAGATTTCGAACTCAATCTGCATGCCCTGTTCACATTTCAAGCACAAGCCCTTCTCAGCAGAAGTCTGATTCTGCTTGGTATTTCAGCTTTTGGGTCACTGCTCGCTCGGAGTCTCGGGTGTCCAGTCAGGTCGGGTTTAAACGGTCCGGCCCGTGCTGGTTCACCGTGTCCCTGCTGGGACACTGCGCATGAAGACAGGTTTTCGGAGCTCTCAGAGGACAAGACTTCCTTGATACTGGCTCCGATGAGCGGGGCCTGAGCGCGCTACCCTCAGCCCTCCCTCTGAGTGTCGATCTTCAACCCAACGCCCTGCAATTGAGTTCGGAGTTGCAGAATGAACTTCCCTAGACGACACGTATTTCCCGAAAGGATGCTATATCGTTTCCGCAACTTCGTGAGGCTTTGATGATATTAGTGGAGCTTTCGCTCTAACCAGGACTGGGCCGCCTCGGTCAGCCATTCCCCGATGTCACCGATCAACGATGCTGGCACTGCGTTATCCTTCGGGGCTGGTTGAAGAGTTTGGGATTGAGGCGTTGGGGTTTGTCTCGCCCTCCAAACCCCTCTAGCATCAGGGCTTGTAGCCTTGGGGGTTGTGAGTTGAACGCTGGGGGTATCGACAGGTGAAGCACTGTAAACCGTGTGGTAGCCCCTTAAGCCCGATAAAGTCCCCACGAAAACATAAAGCGCATTCAGCCCTGTACGACATCTCCAAAATGCATTGGCCCCTTCAACAGCGATGACATTCTGTGATGAAGCCTGCGGCACCTCCTTGCAGTCTTAGACAACTGACAAAGTCAACGAAATGCACCCGGGATAGAAAGAACATGGCCAACGCTGTAAGGCTCCCTTGTAGCCTTTGAGGGGCGGAGGTGCGACTTCGCGGTGTGCATTGAACGAGGCTTCACATGGTACCTAAGCATGCACCAGCAATTGTACACCCTCTTTCTCTCCTCTACAGTTTGACAGATCGATCTATATATATATATGTATATATATATATAATACATAGATAGAGGGATAGATGGATGGACGCATGGGGAGATGAAATGGACAGATGGCTAGATCGATAGCATAGATACACGTGGAGATACAGATATGCAGAGATAGCTAGGTTTGGTCGCCCATTCGCCTCGAAGGTCTCCATGTCCATGATGTGGAAGGTGTTGTCGGACTCGTCTCTGTAGGAGTAAGTTCCAACTGTGCCGGGGCATCGCAAAGGATGGAGCGTCGGGTGCCACTACCAATAGGAATAATACCGATTATCATCATTGGTTTTTGGTCTTTCGTCATTACAACCATTCTTCAGCATAATTGTGATTGCCTCTTCTTCTGATTGTTGATATTTCTTTGGAGAGGGCAATGCTGGCATTACACATCGCAGAATTGAAGGCGCACAGCCCGAAGGTTCGGGGATTAACGAGGTTGAAAGCGGGTAAAGTACGATTTTTTCACAACTGCAGCTACTGCTGGCCGCTATTACCGGACTTGCTTTTCATACCAAGGATTCGTTAAACTGCAGTAGCACGCGCAGTGAGTAAGAACAACCGGCCGAATACTCTGCAGAGGCATGGAGGCTTTCCGAAGGCGACAGCGACGACCCCGACTAGTAGTAGTAGTAGTAGTAGTAGTAGTAGTAGTTGTAGTTGTAGTTGTAGCAGTAGCAGTAGTAGTAGTAGTAGTAGTAGTAGTAGTAGTAGTGGTAGTAGTAGTGGTAGTGGTAGTGGTGGTGGTAGTAGTAGTAGAGTAGTAGTAGTGGTAGTAGCAGTAGCAGTAGCAGTAGTAGTAGTAGTAGTAGTAGTAGTAGTTGTAGTAGCCGCAGTAGCAGTAGCAGCACCAGCAGTCGCAGTACTAGGAATTCAAACTACTTCTACTGCTACTATTCCTGTTACTACTACCACTACTACCACTACTACTACTACTACTACTACTACTACTACTGCCTACTACTGCCTACTACTGCCTACTACTGCCTACTACTGCCTACTGCCTCCTACTACTACTACTACTACTACTACTACTTTAAGTTACTTTCTTCTGCTGGTGCTGCTGCTGCTACTACTACTACTACTACTACTACTACGGCTACTAAACCTATTGCTATTACTACTACTACTACTACTCCTCCTCCTCCTCCTCCTGCTGCTGCTGCTGCTACGTACTACTTCTACCCCTGCTATCACCTCCCACGACCCAAAACACACACCCCAATACACGAGACGGCTACACGGAGCACTCGGCAGGCAGAACTTGGGGGGCGGGCCTTGCCACTGGGTTTCGACCTCGTTGAACTTGGATCCGGAGTTCAGCCTCAGCTTTCGAAAGCTCCCTTCACATAACTCCAGAACCTTGCTTTTTTTGATGAACCCTAATCTAAAATTATCTAAAATTTGTAGGGACCTCCGTCGCACAATCGTCTAGGCTTCGTAAGAGGCTCGGGAAGCCTTCGACATTGCCATCCGCTTCCCTAGACCCTAGATTCTCGGTGGATCTAGAAAGCAGAACCGTTAATCTGGTACCTCGTACCTCGTACTGAAGACTCTGTAGGAAAGGATTGCACAGGGATCCCTGGAACACAAAAGACGTCCTCCCCACATGCACTCCAGGCAGCGTCTTCTCGAAGATGGCGCCGGTGATCATGCTCTGAATCTTGGCTTTGGTGATCGCCACGCCCTTTCCCTTTCATGCGGATATGTGTGAATGCGGCCTGGCTTCTGTTTCTGAGTTTGGGCATGGCTTTCTTTTCTTCGAGACTTGGGGCTGAGGATCTACGGCGGTTTTGTGTTGAAGGCTGAAGACTTTCGCTTCAATCCCTGCGGCAGCAGAAAGACACGACGACAACAGCCTCCCGAAGCAGTGAAGCCCTTGAAGCCTAAAGTCGCCATGGCTTTAGGTGTAGACCGGCGAATCTCGGCCTGCTTCTTGGACTGGAAGGAAATGAGCTTCACGGGCGTATCTGGCTGGAATCTCACTAAAGCGGGCTTTACTGGGACATTCCGGGCTTCTGATGGTTCAGAACCGTTTCAAGCCAGGCGTTTTGGGAAGGCAAGGCTTTTGGGGTTCAGGAATTGGGGCTACAATACTACAACTTCCCTGCTTCGGGTTTGCGTCTCTGTTTGATAGAGCCAAAGCCTCTGACACAACTTAGGCTCCCCTCGCAACCCTCAGCCCATGTAAACCCTAAAGTCTGAAACCCACAGTTTCCAAGTCTGCACCCTGCAGCTGAGCACAATCTGCTTTTTGCTTCAACCCTTTCTGGGAATCCTGAAGAACCCCGAAGAACCCAATGCCGCTTCCCGGACCACACCCGAGGCCAAGGGCTCCTTACGCAAACATGCACTCCTTCGGAGCCTCGAAGCCGCACCCTGAATCCTAACTCCTAAGCGCACAGCCAAAGACCTGTGACTCTACACCTGCACCGTAATGGACGAGGTGCCGTCCACCACGATCTTGATGCCATTTTTCAGGCCTTCCGCTCGCATGGCAGTGTGATGTTCTCAAAACCCATGGCCATGTTTCCAACTCGCTGGCGTTCTCCGTTTCTGAACTGGGTTCTTAGCGATGGTTCTAACCTGTTGAGGGACCAGCTTTTTACGGTCTCGGCTTCCAGAGAAGGTGGAAGCTGTGAGGGCTTCGGGCCATGGCTACCCCAATCTTCTGGAAGAGTTAAGACAAGTAGGGACCCTAATCCACGCCCCCAGTCGTAGGATCCTGACTACAGGCGCTTTGTTTCGGGGTTCCCGGTCTTGCAGAGCCCTCCCGCAAGCAGATCCCAATTCACAGGCTCTGAATTTTTGAAGGCATCGGATATGATACTCGGCTGGTTATAGTATACCCACTCCCCAGAAACATCTACCAGTGCATAGAACAGCCTCCGGGGACCTCGATCATGCTGGCCTGCCTCTTCGGGTTGGGAACTACTGGCGGATTCAGGCTTTGGACTCTTAGGGTCTTAGTCTCGGCTGCTGAGGGATTTGACAAAAATCATTGGTTTTCGATTCGACGGGCAAGGGAGCTCAGGATCTGGAATGTCTGCAATTGACGTACCTGACTGGACAATTTCTCCATGTTACTACGGCTGGGGAACAAAAGCATTGCTGCCGCTCTGTTGTAGATACGACTGGTGTGTTGCTGGTACAGCTAACTGAGTGCTTCTGGCTTGACGTTTTGGCTCGTGGGGGAGGGGTGGTACCGGGTTCAGCAATTACATTGCTTCTGCTTTTCATTGTGGTGCTCGAAACGATGCCTTCCGCTTCATTACTAAATGATGGCTCGCTACTAGCCGCTACTCTCGTGGTAAGCCATCGAGCTTCCCTGCCCGAGCAGTTTCTCATGAAGCGATGCCCTCTATGTTTGTGCCTGTATGCTTCGTCACTCAACTTTATCGTGCCACTTGTGCATTAAGCGCAAGCTTCTCTTTCACGGTCTAACCTTTATCCTCCAACTCGCGTCGTACAGGACGTCGTTGCCTTCAACAAACATCTGAATACATCTGCATGCTAATCTCAAGGCTGGTGCCCGTCGAAGTGTGCTTCAAGGGCTTTAGAGCAGTCAGCAGGCCTGCCTGGGGTTGTATGGCTATTGATTTTTCGATGCTCTTTTTGTGATCGCCAGAGAACCAGCAGATACTCCCATCGTCAACTGAATTCGGATTCTGCCAGATGTCCGGAGGGAGGTGAGCTTCTTTGTGCCCGAGAGTTGGTTAAGTTAAGTGGCAGACTCCATACGCCCCAGACCGTAGGCGCTAGGACGCATGAGCACCTCTGGTTGAGCTCCATAATAGAAACTACTCCTTGAACACCGGCGAAGACTGCACTCCAACCACTGAGCCCACAACCCCTCGAGCAACAAAGCGGCACGGTTGTAGAATGAAGGCCGGAAGCCCAAGCCCAAGCCCTCCAAACCCCCAAGGCCAAGACGATAACCCCACCAAAACTTCCAAAGCTTACGACAAACCGACAAACCCTTAAAACCTAATCTTCCGGCCACCCCAGCCTGGCCATCAAGGAATCTGGGCCTCTCTGGCTGCGGAGGTTCCTGAAAGCAAGGACCCTTCTTAGGGTTTGGATTCCATGGACTTCGTCCATTTCTACTGAGGCCCTGTTTTAATCTTAAGACAGACTGCAGCTCCTGTGTGCCGGAGACAAACCCTGAAATCCCCCCCCCCCCCAGGGCACCCCGTGCGCGGCTGCACGAAGGCGGCGAGGCCGGCGAAGAGGGCGAGTGCGAGCAAGGCTCGAGCGAAAGTCTTTCCTTGGGGGGGCGTGGCTCCGGCTAAAACTTCTTCTGTCGTTTGTGCTGTTTGTCGATATGCTGTTTTTCGACACTTAGAGTCTGAAAGATCCTCTTCGAGGTAGAGGGGGTTGATGTCGGTGTTTAGTAGAGGACTCTGTGTCTGGACAAGGCCGAAAAAGCTTAAGAGCGATTTGAAGCCGATGAAAGGTGGCTTCTCGATTTGCAAGGTCGGATGTGCGATGTGCGGTTGTGTGCTTAGAAAGCGCCGGTGCTTCCGGTCCTTCCTATAGGTCCTAGCTATCTTTCATATTGTCTTGGGCTCTGGTTGTCGGCCGGTTGCTCAAGCGAGTCAGCTTGCAGCTTTGGCGAGTAGATCCGAGATGCAACAGAAACTTTGGTTCAGAAGATATCAGAAGATTCCTTTTCTGATGCAGAGTCAAACGCCTGCCCACACCAAACATCCACCGTCCGAGCTTACCGTAAGCCTCCGGCTCTGCATGGCCATGGTCTGTTGCGAAGCCAGCGAGATCTGTGTCAACTTTAGGAGAACCTACGTGAGCAAGACTTCTCGGACTTGAAAGTTCCAAAAGTCGTGGTGGCTGAAAGGCTTGAGGGATGCATGACCATATGCCGAAGGTGCTGTGACCCAAGGTGCTGGAGCCAAAACATCGCGAAGAAAAGGCTGACTCTGGAATTCAGGGACCCAGGACATCTGGGCTTTATGGAATCATTGTAAGGTACTTTTTCTATTGTGGATAGGTGTAGGCCTCAACGCCGCCCACTTTCTTGTCGACAACGTCGCCCAGGACGTCGGCGACGGCCTGTGTTTGGGAGCGCCCAAGGTTCAGGTTTCAGGGGAAAGGCGAACCTTTAACCAAAAAAAATATCCAGTTTTGGCTGAACTTCACTTGGCGCCACCTCAAACATAACCGCTACCGTAATGTGGAATTTGGACACGAACAGGGGCAACAACTGATTTTTCAATTCAGCCCCCGTCGCTGCTTTCAGGCTTCTGTAAGAAGCACGGGCCCGTGGAAAGTGTCAAAGCACCAAAAAGTTCTTACTGCGAACAGGATTCTTTGGATCTTTTTCAGCGTGAGCTCTTTGAGCTGTTGCCGAAACGAGGTCGACACTGTGGCATGCTCCTCAAACCATGTTTGACATCCTGCAAAAACTAGGCTTTTCACTTTAATTTAAACCGTATGTCTACTCAGTCTTGCAATGGTTCTGACCCTTGTTCTACCGTAACGTCTGTCAACAACTGAAACGAATCCCGATATTGATAGGTGAGTATGCACATATATTCCCGCCACATCATCTGTATGTGCATTCTACACACACATACATATATAATTTGTGTATAGTATATGCCTTTACATACTTACACACATACGTACATATCCCCTCATACGCAATACAGTATATGTATGTATGTATGTATGCATTCATACGCAATGCAGTATATGGATGTATGTATGTATGCATGCATGCATGCATGTATGTGTGTGCAAATGTATGTGTGTGTGTGTGTGTATGAGCTGACGTGGCCTCCACGGGATCCTTGACCTCAGGTAGGCCACTGAGCAAGTCGCCCTTCCGGCTCGGAAGCTCCTGAGCCAAACTGGTGTTTTGGCTTTTCTTTTTCTAACGGGTTGTAAGGTTGCAGTCTTTATGCTGTTTTTTGAGGGCTCTGCGCCAGACCGCAAGCAACACACACATTTCTTCTGACATGCAGGCTTGCACTGCCCCTGAGTTCAAACATATACCTCTAAAGTGCTGAACTGTCCTTCTCGTTTGAATCAAGCTGTCCAGTCTAGGACTGAAACCGACCGGCTAAAGGCTTGAGGGTCTTGGGGCTTAGGACTGTCATCCTACCCCTCGTCGAACCATATCCTCGACAAGCCCTGTAGGCATGGTTGAAGAGTTTAAGGGCTTCTAAACCAATGAAACCCGAAGACTAGACTAGATAACCACAAGACCTCCAGTCAAAGCCCGCAAGTTATTGGTTTGAGGTCCGGGGTTCACGAAGATGGCCTTCGACGCGATCACCGGGGAGAGGTCGCTCTTACCGCGGATGGACTCGGTACCTCCCCAGACTGGGTTCTGAAGCTTTTAGGCTTCTTTAGGGTTGAGGGAGTGCCAGATGAACTTGGAATGGGGGCGCGTTTGGCGAGCTCTTCAAAAGACTCTTGAAAGACTCGGGTTGTTGGAAGGGGTTCAAGCGGGAGTTCCACGGTACTGGGCTGGCAAAATCAAAACAGCCTCCAACTGCCAGCCTCGCAAAAGCTTCTTTTGGTATTCAGACAGCCAGTGTGTCGGCCTTGCACATCAACTCTTCCGAAAGGAGCCAGTGCAAGTGGAGATCTCCGCTTCTCCGCTATTTGCACATGCTACTGTCATGACTCCCTCCTATATCCAAAGAGAGGACCAAATCTTGAGCTTCTGTTGTCGAGAGGTCCTGAAACCCCCGCAGCCCGCGATCCAAAGCCCTAACTAGACCCTATCTTGACCCTAAACCCCACATGCAAATCTCCACGCACTGGCCCCTTTGAAACTCACGCTGCCAGAGGAGGCGTCCGCAACTGGAGGGGCCCAAGACTCAATAACCAAAAACCCGAAGAAACTTCAGGCTTTGCTGGGGCTTCGGCTTCGGCTTGGGACTGGAAGGCCGGGTTCTGGAGTTTCCGCTATGCTCGGAATGTCTGGCATACAGGCACACGGTCCCAACATGTCCCAACTTCCGGAAGTCACAGCTTCTGAGTTTGAAGGTGCCCCTGTCTGATACCAACCAAGCGGCTTTGGCACATGCAAACAGTGGGCTTGGGACTTCGGGTTTTCGTGAGAGCTCTAGGACTCTAGGAGTTGGAGTCGCGGTGGCCCGAAACTCTGGTCCTGTATGCTCCGACGGGCGGGAAAAGAGCTCAGAATGTGGACGAGGAAACACATCGCTGCTTCTTGGATTCTTGGATCTATATGACTTGTCGTTTAGCGTCAGGAGCCCCGCCAAAAGCGAAGATGCCTCAGTGAATGCGCCTGCCTGACAGTGGGACGACTACGCCGAGACTGCTCCGATCTGCACTTGAGCTTCTTCTTGTGACGACAACCTGCGTGTATTTCCTGTTTTGACGAGGCCACCTCGAAGGTGAGTATTGATATCGCACTTGTGCCACAGTGGTCAGTGGAAACCCTAAACTCTAAACCTCACACCATTCAACTATTAAACCCCTGTCCCCATCTTTCAACCCGCAAAAGTCAAACTGCACACCATTCAACTGTTGAACTTTAACCCCAAACTTTCAACTCCTCAGAAAAAAACCCAAAGCCCTATACGACTTAGCAGTACAGCGGAGAGTCGGTGTTGAACGGGTCAGTTTCCGGAATTGGGGTCCCCTATATCGGGCCATTCACCCTGGTCGGACAGGTTCAAGAGTCAGGTTAAGGCTTTTGAGTTTAAGATTCAGTTCATCGTCGTCGTCGTAGTGGTTGTAGTACCAGTAGTAGTTGCAGGAGCAGGAGCAGGTGCAGGAGCAGGTACAGAAGTCGTAGTCGTCGTCGTCGTCGTCGTCGTCGTCGTAGTAGTAGTAGTAGTAGTAGTAGTAGTAGTAGATAGTAGTAGTAGCAGTAGCAGTAGCAGTAGCAGTAGCAGTAGCAGTAGGGGTAGGGGTAGGAGTAGGAGTAGGAGTAGGAGTAGGAGTAGGAGTAGGAGTAGGAGTAGGAGTAGTAGTAGTAGTAGTAGTAGTAGTAGTACTAGTAGTAGTAGCTACTACTACTCCTACTCCACCTTAGTAGGTAGTAGTTAGTAGTTAGTAGTTCGTAGTTCGTAGTTCGTAGTTAGTAGTTAGTAGATAGTAGATAGTAGTTAGTAGTTAGTAGTTAGTAGATAGTAGTTAGTAATTAGTAGTTAGTAGTCAGTAGTTAGTAGTTAGTAGTTAGTAGTAGCAGTAGTAGTAGTAGTAGTAGTAGCAGCAGCAGCAGTAATCGTAGGTAGGAGCGGCCGCAGCAGCAGAAGCGGCGGCAATAGCAAGAAGCAGCAGCCGCAGCAGCAGCAGCAGCAGCAGCACAGCAGCAGGATGGGGTCGCGATAGTAAGAGTAAGCACGCAAATACTGTTATAGCTGAACCAATGGGACGGCAGCTTCATAACAGTCCGACAAGCCGGTCTCTCGGTAAGCAACCTGCAATGGCGATTTTGGCCCTGAGTACGGGACCCCAATTTAGGAAACTTAAGCTGGGAACTCGAAACCACCAGAGCTGCCGCTGAGTCGCGGGAGATCATCTGTTCGATGGCTCAGCATGCGGAACGCACTGTGCAAGCGATAATTTGTCAAAGGGCTCCCAATGGGAGCCCTTCAACATGCTGGGGTTTGGACGTCCAGCCCCCGGCGCTGCAAATCCTAAGCACTGTACCCCGACTGTGACGACACAAAGAGTAGCCATCGTGGTGGGGGTTATCATTCGCAATGCTTAGGGCCACCCCACCACCACCACCACCACCACGACTCCTCCTCCTCCTCCTGCTGATACTGTTTCTTCTGTTGTCTTCTGCGATCTCTATACCAAAACCGCGACTATAGAAGTACGACCGCCACTAACAATACTGCCACCTCAGATGACAAACATGAGACAAACTACGGGACAGCAAGAAGAAAGCTACATCAGTAGCAACAGCAGGAGTCTGTGTACAAGCAGGCCCAGGTGCAAGACTACGAGGAATGGTGGCAGCCAGACTAGTCGCACTTGCAATCTGGGCTTCAACATGGTAATGAATAGAGCACCAGCGTACTACAGCGCGAAACATGGGACTGCCTTCCCCCCGCACTCCGCCAAGAGGTGGGACAGTGGCGTGAATCAAGTCATGGAGCCCCTACAAAGTTGGGTGCTGTGCGGATTAAGATTGAAAGTCAAGAAGCTTTACCCTCAGCCTCAACCCCCTTGCTGATGTTAACTATAAGCTACTTGGAGCAAATCTCTTCGAATTTTTTGAGTTCTACCGAGTTTGAACTGAAACTCTCATAGGGCCTTCAGTATGATGCGTGAAATTTGCCGTATATGAGCCAAAGCGATAATATAGAACACTGCTGGGAAGTTGCTTGTCTTTCGGGGTGTAGCTCATGGACAGCCCCATGAACAACCTGCAAACACCTGGAAACCTGCCCTCCCAAAGATCCCACAGCACCCCCAAAACCCCTAAATCAGAAATCATGGCTGTTTCAACAATACTTT